TCTGATGGGTTTTCCTTTGCATGTGATTGCTTTTTTTCTAGCGGCTTTCAGTATATTATTCTTGTGCTGAATTTCTGGGATCTTGACTATTATATGTCTCAGTGTGTTTTTCATTGGGTTGAGGTTACTTGGTGTTCTGTATGCGTCTGATATACCTGAATATCAGAGAGTTTCCTCATATTTGGGAAGTTTTCTGCTATTACTTCTGCCTATATTTTTAAAATGTCATTTGTATTGACTCCTTCTTTCTCATTGATGCCTATTAGTCTCACATTGTTCATCTTTGCATCATCTTGCAGGTGATGGATTATTCTTTCCTGCTTCCATTGTGGTTTTTTTTTTTTTTAACCGGGATTGAACTCAGGTCCTTGCGCTTGCCAGGGAAGCACTTATTCCACTGAGCCATCTCCCAGGCCCCTATCCTCGTTGTTTTTAAGAGATCCTTTCTTACTTTTTCACTAGCTGCACCATCATCTTCAATATCTGACACTCTGTCTTCGCTTTCATTTAAACGGTTTTGCAAGTTTGTGATTGAGATTTTAATTTCCTCTATATGTCTTTGACTCTGCTTCATGCGATCTATTTCTTTCCTGTATTGCTCATTCAAGGAATCCATTATTTTTCTAATCTCCTCTATTCTTTTATCCATGTCTTCTTTAAGAGCAGTTATAAATTCTTTTACTGCAGTGTTTTTTTTTTCAGATTGGGTTTCATCCCTATGTTTCTGTTGTTGCTTCTTTTCTTCAGATGCTATGAGTTCTGAGAATTCTTTTTTTATTTCAGAAAAGAATTGCACTCTGAGTTCCTCTATATCTTTCTACTGTTGCTTATTTACTATCGAAGCTATTAATTCATGCATTTGAGCTGAGCTAGTGTCCTCCACACTTGTTCTGGTTGGGCATTGTGTTTCCTCCATACGTTTCTGCATTTGATTCTTTATTGCAGATGTTATTAATTCAGGGATTTCTTTTTTTTTCATTTCCAATCTGAGTTCCTCTATACCTTTCTGCAGCTGTTTTTCTTTTATTTCAGAAGCCCTTGGTTCATTGCTTTCAACTGTGTGATTCCTAATTTGTTCTGTGTTAGTGTCCTCTGCACTTGTTATGGTTGGTCTTGGGTTCTGAGGTTGCATTTTGTTCCTTCTTGTCATTTTGTGTAGCACTGTCTTCTGACCTTTGTTGTAGATCTTGGTTGTAGTTATAACCTTAGCATGTACTGAAGTTCAGGTGGAGATCTACAAAGTTTGGATTTATCCAGCTGTGCCTGCCTTGGGTCTGGCTGCTGTGCTCAATTCCTTCCTGCTGCTGCTCTTGAGGGTGAACCTGTTGTGCCCCTCTGGCAAGATTTTCTGCTCCTGGACTAGCTGGGTGGTTCTATCCTCTACACTCTCTGCATGGATTGCAGCTGCAGGGTTACACCCCAGGCCTGTATGCCAGGGCTGAACTGAGTCTGGAGGGCACAAGGTGTAGTAGGGGGGAGAATCAGCTCTCCCACACACTCACCGGACCTAGACTAGGACCTAGTCTAGGGGTTCCAGGAACGTGGCAGAAATTCCTACTCACAGGCAGGGTGGGGGAGGTACTGCGGAGTGGTGGTGGGGCGTCCCAATGGGATAGACGAGGGTCTCACCCTCGCTGCACCTGGGCTGGGACCAGTAATACGTCCCGCTGGCGCAGGGTAGCAGGAAGCTCTCCCACACACTCACCAGACCTGGGCTAGGACTGTGTCTGGGGTTTCTCGGAAGGCGGCAGAAATTTCTACTTGGCAGGCGGGGTGGGGGACATGCTGCAAAGTGTTTGGGGGCATCCCAAGTTGGTGGAAATGGGTCTCACCCACGATGCACCTGGGCTGGGACCAGTAGTACGTCCTGCAGGTGCAGGGTACCAGGAAGCTCTCCCACACACTCACTGGACTTGGGCTAGGACTGGGTCTGGGGGTTCCTGGAAGGTGGCAGAAATTCCTACTCAGCGGCAGGGGTGGGGAAGGTGCTTCAGAGTGTTTGGGGGGCATCCCAAGGGGGTGGAAGTGTGTCTCACCCGTGCTGTGCCTGGGCTGGGACCAGTAATAGGTCTCGCAGGCACAGGGTAGCAGGAAGCTCTCCCACACACTCACTGGACCTGGGCTAGGACTCTGAGGAATTTTTCTTAGCATCTAATAATCTGCTATCCACATGACTCTAGGAATAAAGTAGGAAAATATTTTATGTAGTAAGCACTTAAAAAATTACTGATAAGCTAGAAAAATGACTTAAAGCAATGAAAATATTTTCAATAAGACTGCTTGTAGGATAAATTTTGTTTGCAAAATTGAACTGAAGTGAAATCAGTTTAGTGTTTCCAAATTAGCAGAATATCAAACAGTAAAAATGATTTTTAGGGGCTATCTTGGTCCATTTTGTGTTGCTGCAAGAGAACACCTGATACTAAATAATCAATGATGAACAGATTTGAGTTCTCACAACTCTGGAGGTCCAGAAGGCTTAGATCACATTGCTCACACTTGAAAGAAAAAAAGGAACCAAACTTATCCTTTTATCAGGACCGTTTTTTTTTTTTTTTTTTTTTTTTTTTTTTTTTTTTTTGAACCGGGGATTGGACTCAGGCCCTTGCGCTTGCTAGGGAAGCGCTTATTCTACTGAGCCATCTCCCCTGCCCCGAGACTGTTCTCTCTTGACAACAATATTAATCCATCTACCCTCATGACCTGGACACCCTTTAAAGGTCCTACTTCTCAACCCTGCTACATCAGAGATTAGTTTCCAATATAGGAATTAGGGGGGTGGTGGGGGCACATCCAATCAAAGCAGAAACATTTCATCTAATATTTCATGTAACAACTGGTTTCCCTAAAAAACATTTTGAAAAGCAATGCAACACAAAAGTAAATATATATATTGAGTAAGCTCTCAATATAATTCAAGTACATTTCTAACTGCATTGTCACATAAAGAGTTCATCCTTGTATAACACTGAAATACTCTTCCTTTTAATTTCCACCCAGAGATACATTTATATCCCCTGGGACTATTAAATCTTTAAATAAGTGATTTGGTTTTGCTAAATTTAATTCCATTCTAAAAATGTATTTCTAAGCTCTCGAAATACAAAGTGAATGCTTTTCATAATATAATAGATTACCTAGTTCACAACTGTATCAGTGAACCTCAAATTTTAGAGAAAAACATACATTATTAATCCTTATTACTAAAAGCAATAAGGAGTTAATTCTTAAATACTGTAGAGATTTGAAATTTTCAAATAATTATCTCCTTGCAAAGTTCACATATAAATTGCAATAAAACACATTCTTCCCTCCTTTTTCCATGCAACACCATCCCTTCAGTTGTAAATGCTATGTCTTACGCTCAAGAATTGGCAAATAGAAAGATGACGTTTCTGCAACAATTTATTGTTCATTATTGTTAATTGCCATGAAGATAATTCAGTTACTTAAGTTGACATTTAGAAGACCTTATCAGGAATCATCAGTTTAACTGATATTTACTAGTCATAGTACCCAAGTCACTGAACTTTTTTTCTTTTACTTTTTTTTAAGTAACACTGATGAACTAGTGGAAGTAGTTTCCCTTCTTTGTGAAGCCTGTGTGTGTCAGTTGGCAATCCAATAAAAGTTTCATTGACAAATATTCTTGGAACAGTCCTTTCACCAGTCATTTTGTATAGAGCATCTTGAAACTGGCTCCCATATTCAAGCACGTCCAATTCCATCACTTTATAATTAATGTTCAAGTCATAGAAAATCTTCTTTGCCATTGTACAGTAAGAGCAGGATGTTTTTGAGAAAATCAAGACACAATTATCAGAAATTATTTCTTGGATCTGGTTTAGAGGTGTAGTTGCTGACTTCTCCAAAGATGATGTGCTGTTCCCCATGCCAGAGGCTGCGGCTGGTCCAGAGCCTGCCCTCCCACGGAGCTGCTGCGCTAAGACATGGTGAGACCTCCCGCCATCGCGCAAGCGCACCCGGGGAGAATCATGTTTATATATACTATTTCATATTTTGTTACTTAATCTAATATTATTTGATAATGATCTCTCATAGTACATTTACTGTAGACTAATTTCATTTTTTAAAAAAAGCTGTTTCTTAGTATTTTTTCAACTAATCCTGTATCAATAGATACTTGGGTTGATCCTAATTGTTCATTTTTATAAATGATGTGGGCTTAGAGAAAGGTTTGGAAAATTATTACTTATGGGCTGAATTTGGTCTGCTGACTGGTTTTGTAAATAAGGAATTTTGGGGGATCACAGGCACACCTTCCTATCTGCATGGCATCTGTACTACTTTCACATTAGAGTGACAGTTTGGTGATACAGTGCCTACAAAGCCATAACCATCTATTATCCAAAATCTTATAGGAAGAGTTTACTGACCATTACTTTTTGGAATATAGGAGTCAATGAGAGAGTGTGGGAAATAATTATCATAATTTCTTTTTCTCTTGACCTTCAAATCCCAGTGTTATGTGAGGTAAAATGGATGTGCTTTTGCTGCAAGATTAATTGTCTGAAGGATCTACTTTGTGCTATATGAAATTCACACCAAAATTCACTCTGAAATAATCTCTTCCCAAGCAATCTCTGCAGGTAAAAGAGTGTGGCAAGGGTGCCATTGCTGGGGGATGTAGGGCATTTTGATGGGGACCTTCCTCAGCCTACTTTGGATTTTTGTGGCATCCTAAGGCACTTCCATCCACACTTCTTTCTCCTTACTGTGGAGTTAAACTTATGGCATCTAGGTTGTCCTAATCTGCAATACTTCTTGATTTTATTTCATACAAGTATTTTTCTGAAACAAATCCATGTATATTTAATCTTGTCTTGGCTTCTGCTTTGCAGAAAACTCAGATGGAGTCAAATGATTGAGAGTGAAACAAGTGATTGGATAAGAATCAGGAATCCCCTGGCAGACAGAGATGCTGTAGAGGAATAAGCTAGTGCATGATAAGATGTAGTGGTTTATTTGTTAAAATGTAAGGAGTGGAAGTAAATGTGCCAAGTAAGAAAACGTAGGCGTTTGAAAAAAATTGAGGAAGTAGCATCTATACAAACTGTGGTGTTTAGTGGTTTCTGTGGTTACCAGCAACTTGTTCTGATGATTTGTAGAAGGATAATAATAAACTCAGAACCACTAATCAGCATTAATAACTAAATGTGAGCACTCGCAAGCCCTGGTCATAGTAGTTTCCAAAGAAATCTTCATTACCTACCATAGAAAGTAGACAAAATTGGATGGCAGAGTGGATGCAATTGTGAGTCACAAGGCTCCAGTGGTATTTGAACAATTACAGAGATTCCGATTACAGGGGAGGTCAAGGTCTTCATAGAGAAAAGATAGAATCTTGAAAAGTGGGACAGCTTTGGAAGAGATTGGCTTGATAATCTTTATTGGACCACTGGATATTCAGAGGTCTTATTTACATGCTAGAAAATGTTGCAGAAAATGTGCCCTCCTTCAATAAAAACCAGATACCCTCTCTCCTACCTGTCATTTACCTGAGAAGTAGGGCTAAATCACTAGGTAATACAGGTACGATACAATTTAGACCTCATAAGAGATTTAAAAAGATGCACATCTAGAGAATTATAAGAACTAGATAGGCTATATTAGGAGGTACCAATGCAACCTCCATGGCTGAATTCAGAAAGCACTTAAACAAGAGTCTTAGCACATCAGGGTAGGTGAGCAAGAATTAATTTACTGTGTCAAGAATCAGGTGTGAGAAATTAGTGTCATTAGAAAAGCTTAATGCCGTTGTTGTTAATGGTGTTATTCGCACTGCATGTCTGTTGAATGCTAGTCCATGCAGAAACTAGATGAATCCTTAAGAATGCCCATGGACCAGTTTAGACTTAAGTAGAAATTCTGATTGTTGCTGATGTGCCAGGTATACTTTATCAAGTACAACAGCATATGTGAAGCCCTGTGCATAGGGTGTGTGGTCACTGGTTTATCAGATACATTTCTTTCTATTTCGGCTAGAAAACTGAGTCAACAGTAGCATTCCCATGGGAAACGTATTGATTGGCAGCTGTTCCCAAGCCCTGCCCTGTACAGCAGTGGCATGTCCCATAGAGACCTAGAGTGCTTCAATTCCACCTGTCAGTCTCACTGTCGATGCTGATGAGCCCTGGTCTGATGCACCCCAGTGACAGCTGGAACATGCGCACTCCTGAGTGTGGGAGCGTAATCCCATGCAGAGTGAGGCACTGGCTAATTCAGTGACATTTTCAAGACCCCTGGAATCAAGACATTACCAAGGTATTCCCTCCAAAATAGAATATGAAGTATATTGTGCAGGATGTATTCCTCTTCCTCCACTTGTACAAGGACAGCAGAGTTTAATAATCTTCTTTACAGTCTGCATGACACACCTTGCGCCTAGGAATACTGACTGCTTCAGCCACATTCAGGGTGACGGGGAAAGCTGACGTTTTAACTCATCAGAAGCAGCAGGCTCAGGCCTTTGTGCAGTTATCCTTTCAGCTTGGGCCATTTGACCAGAAAAACTCAAGTTATAGGAAGATCAGAAGTGAGACAAAGCCTAATGGGAGGCCTGAGGAAATATCATGGTGGGGTGTCCTGAGGTTTTGGGGTGAGGCCAGATCATCTCTGCAGTAGAGATTTTTCTTTTTTACTGGGACTGCATTGAGGGCATTTGCACTGATCAACATCCCTAACCTTTTTTTACGTTTTACATAAGGATAGGGTCTTGGTAAGTTCCCAGGATGTCTCTAAATAAGCTCTGCTTTGTGGAACTCAAGCTCTTTTGCAATTTTATTACACTTTGTGTGAGAATTAAGCTGCAGGACCAAGAACATACAGCTATGTGGGTTTGTCTTCTAAGGAGGGAGTAGGAGGGGCCAGCCAAATAGCTCAGTAGATTAAAGCGCCTGCTTAGGCAAATGCAAGGGCCAGGGTTTGATTCATGATGTGCTGTGCCGGCCCACCCCTGGGGCACCCTGAGACAGTGATTGAGATTGGATGTGGTGTCACCTGTAAATCCCAGCACTTGAGAGGCTGAAAACAGGAGAATCACTATGAGTCCAATCTACATAGCTAGACCCTGTAGACCCTGTTCTAAATACAAATAAAAAAAAGTGAAAAAGAGGGAGAGAGTAATGAAGTGATGAAGACGCTGTGTACCCACACGATTCCGCATGTAGAATGTAAATGTCATGTACTGGGACCGTGTGCTAATACAAAAGTTTTCAGGAAAGAAGTGCATCATTCACCTCCCCTTATGTGCTCAGGTGACTTCAGCCCTCGCTGACATTTATCCTTAAACCTAATGAAAAATAATCTGGGTCAGAACCACCTGCCAAGTTGCATCCAGTCTACTGATTCTCCAAACCTTTTTGAGATAATAAGTGTTAGTTGTTCTATCTTGTTTGGCTTTAGGACTCTTCCAGTAATTCTTTATTACTTATCCTCCTCTGACAAAAAAAAAAAAAAAAAAAAAAAAAAAAAACAAAAAACAGTGGGAACAGATAAATTTAAAATGACATGGTATTGTTGGTAATGGACACATACATATATTCATGGTATCTCCCACAAGCAAAACCCTAATGGCATTTGCAGAAGGCCATGCATTCAACACAATAGCTTACTTCTTTTAATTATCTACTGGATTCTCAAACATAAGATCTCTATTGAAAGTCAATAATCTAAGATTATATAGGAAACAGAATAATGGGGACAATGAAAGGGTCTTGCACGTCTTCTGTGAACATCTGTATCACCACATTGAAGTCACTATTTGGGAAATCACACCCTGCTGTTATTTTTTAAAATTTTTTATTTAAATTTTTTAAATGCCTGTAGAAAGCCAATTTCCTGAAGAGTTATTGTTAAGGTGGTGTACAGAGACAACAAGTATACCAGCTTCCTTTCATCAAGAAAATTCTAGTTGAAAATAAACAATTTAGAAATAGTAAATACAAAGAAAACTAAAACAAATACAGATTCTCCAGCAAGACAACAAAAGATAATATTTATCATTTACATTGCAATTTTGTGTGAGTTTGATGAATAGGAACAGCGATGTGAAAGTCATCAGGGTCCATGTGCCATTTGCATGTTAGACACATGCAGAAAAAGATTTTGTTTTTTTGTGGAACTGGAAATTGAACTCAGGCCCTTGTGCTTGCCAGGCAAGTGCTTATTCTACTGAGCCATCTTAAGAGTGTTCTTTTGTACTTCATAGTGTAATCAAAGTCCAAATCTATCAACACTTTCTGAAACCCAGGAAGGAAGGAAGGAAGGAAGGAAGGAAGGAAGGAAGGAAGGAAGGAAGGAAGGAAGGAAGGTAGAGTGAGGAAACCACTTTCCTTATTCCACTCTTTCTGCAGCTCTCCTGGAGGGTCATGTTGTTGGGCCAATGCATTGTCATTTGTCCTGATAGTTCATTCATCCCCAGGATTCTTGCTGGTACCCACAGCCTAGACATTTCCTCGGCACAGGCATTGGGCCACCTTGCCTCGCATTTCCTTCATCTTTATACCATAGATGACAGGATTGAACACTGAGGGTAGGAGAAGGTAGAGATTGGCAAGGAGGATATGGGTATGTGGTGGAATGTGGTGACCAATGCGGTGTGTAATAGAAGAAAAGAGTGCAGGTGCATAGGTGAGGGCTATGACAAAGAGGTGGGCTGAGCAGGTGTTGAGGGCTTTGAAGGTGGCATCTCTAGAGTTAAGGCGTATCACAGCCTGAAGGATGAGGGCATAAGAAAAACCAATGAGCAGTAGGTCAAGTCCTACCACGAGCAAAATGACAAAGAGTCCATATATACGATTGGGTCTGGTGTGGTTGCAGGCCATTTTCACTACAGCCATGTGGTCACAGTATGTGTGCGGAATGACCACACT